TGAAGACGGCCCGGAAGCTTCAGCTGGTTCAGCGCGCGGCAGCCATGTTACTAACTGGAGCGGGATACAGGGAGCACACAACACCCTTGTTGTCCCAGCTCCACTGGCTGCCGATTTGCTACCGGGCCCAATTTAAGGTGCTGGTGTTGGCCTACAAAGCCCTAAACGGCTCCGGCCCAAAATACCTTTCAGACCGCATCTTGGCCTATGAGCCCACGAGGACCTTGAGATCGTCTGGGGAGGCCCTTCTCTCGATCCCGCCTGCCTCACAGGCACGCCTGGCGGGGACGAGAGAGAGGGCCTTCTCAGTGGTGGCCCCCCGGCTGTGGAACACTCTCCCTACAGACATCAGGCAGGCGCCCTCCCTTATGTCCTTCCGAAAAAGCCTTAAGACATGGCTATTCGAGAGGGCATTTAATTAAGTGCTATAATAATGTGGTAAAGATGACTGGAATGGAACAAGGAATACGAGATTGGTTACGATTCTACTACGAGACGAAGCGGATTAGTTAGTGTAATTTTATGATTGTTGTATTGTTGTATTGCTGATGAGTTGTTGTAATTGCCTTTTTGTAAACTGCCTTTTATACTGTACACCGCCATGAGTCGCCCTGGAGGGCTGAGAATGGCGGTTAATAAATGCATCAAATAAATAAATAAATAAATAAATAAGGGAAGAGTAGATTCTAAAAACTGGTAAATTATATCAATTTAAATTTTTTTTATCATTTTTTTAAAAAAAATTCCTTTTCAGTGTACTGCCTTGGCACATCTGAATGCAATGGTTTATTGAAACTCACCGTTACATAATGCAATGTTTGATACCATATACTTTTGTGAGGTTGTTTCCTGTGCAATTAGTGTTTGGAATTTGCTGGTGATGGCTTGTTACTGTCTGTTTATACCACATTAGCACAGTGGAGAGGTAGTACATAAGCCTGCCTATAAACTCTTCAGTCTTGCCAGGTGGCCCTGCTTCTAAACTAAGCTGTGTGAGAGGTGGCTGTGGCTGCTCACTGATAAATAGGAAAGGCACACAGCACATTTTCAGATGTCCTTCTCTTTGACCACATTCCAGAGTTGGGCATTAATACTACAGACATAGTGAAGTTGCCACTTCTTTGTCACTCACCTGACTAATGTGTAAGCCTGTTGCTTTGGGCAATAGATTTTGATCATTCTGACCATTTCTTCCTGAACATTTCTGTAAAATATCTGTTGTACTGCTGGGCAACTTGCATCCATTTTTATGCAATTATTTCTGTGCCCACAGGCAATGCACATTGATTTGTCTAGGAAATAATAATTCAGCAAGGCTGCAGTTCTGTGCTCACGTTGCTGGGAACAAGAACCTTTGACTAGGAGTGAAACTATCCTCAGAATAAGGATGAATGTAATATTTATTCAGTGAAAACATTTCCCCATGCTGTTCAGCCAAACAAGACCCCCATAGTGGCTTAGCTATTAGTCCATAATAAGACAGGCCCTTAGATTACAGCTTGAAAGACATTACACAAAAAGAAATGAATTGGGTGCGGAAGGGGAAAATGCAAATTCAAACACAAGTTCTTTGTTATAAAATGCTTTCTGTCAGGGAAAAGAAACACACACTTGCATTTGGTTCCTTGTCTGACTGTTGGGTGGGACTGCTTTGGTTTTTCCCTTCTCATGATGTTCTTCTTGAGAGGCATAGTGTGCAACATGCCAGTGGCCTTAGGGTACATCTTCACAGTAGAATTAATGCAATTTGACACCACATGAGCTGCCAGGGTGCAATGCTTTGGAATCATGGCAGCTGTAGTTTTACAAGGTTTTATTTATTTATTTGTTTATTTACTTTACTTCTATACCGCTATTCTCAGCCCGGAGGCGACTCACAGCGGTTCACAACACATAGGAAACAGCAAAGTTCAATACACCAATATAAAAACAGTTAACAACTTAATCAATACACAGTTAGTACACAAATTACTATAATAACCAATCACTAGCATTTCATCACTAAAAACACGATCCAGATTCATCATCCATTGTTCCATTCCTATGTCATTACCAGTCATTACACTAATTATTCGAACAGTCAAGGTTTTTAGCCTTGACTGCCAAAGAGAGCTGACGCCTCACAAAACCACAAACTCCGCGGAGCCCTCGGTGGCACAGTGGGTTAAAGCACTGAGATGCTGAACTTGCAGACCAAAAGGTTGCATATTCGAATCCAGGGAGTGGCATGAGCTCCGGCTGTTAGCCCTAGCTTCTGCCAACCTAGCAGTTTGAAAACATGCAAATGTGAGTAGAGCAATAGGTATCGCTCTGGCAGGAAGGTAATGGCGCTCAATGCAGTCATACTGGCCACATGACCTTGGAGATGTCTACAGACAATGCCGGCTCTTCGGCTTAGAAATGGAGATGAGTACCAACCCCCAGAGTCGGTAAAAGTAAATCTATACCTTTATCTACATAACATGGTTTCAAATAGCATTGATTTTACAGTGTAGATGCAACCTCAGTGCCCTGGTAAATACAAGAGGCCAATTGTTTTGTAGTCCAGAGAATAAGGGCTCTCTCTCTCTCTTTCTCTTTCTTTCTCTCTCTCTCTCTCAAGAAGGGATTATGTGAACTCCCTGTAGCAATCCCTTCTCTACCTGACATTTATTTGATTAGGCTCAGCCTATAGTCCAGCTAGAGTTGGGGAAGTTACGTTTCAAAAAGTATTTTGCATTGGGTTGTTGAAGGTTTTTTCGGGCTATATGGCCATGTTCTAGAGGCATTCTCTCCTGACGTTAGGAGAGAATGCCTCTACAATATGGCCATATAGCCCAAAAAACCTACAACAACCCAGTGAATTCCGGCCATGAAAGCCTTCGACAATATATTTTGCGTTGTTCCTCATTGCAGTGTTTAAAAGTAACCCGTTCCCATTACTCCTGATGAGGAGGAAAGTTGTCATGTTATTTTACATGCTATACTACTAATTCCTTTTCTGTCACTTTTTGAAATTGGAAAACCTTATGATAAGAAAATGGAATGACCCTTAAAAATAGCCAGTTACAAGTTGAGTATACCTCTTTGAAAATGATTGAGACAAAAAATGTTTCGGAATTCAGTTTCTTTCTTCAGATTTTGAAATAATTCTGTTTGTATATATAATACCTAATCAGATAGTTTAGAAATGGGACCCATGTCTAAATAAGAAATATATTTTTGTTTTATATATCCGTTATACACATCACCTGCAGGTAATGTTATGCGCAATATTTTAAATAACATTTTCTGTGTGTGTGTGTGTGTGTGTGTGTGTGTGTGTGTGTATTGAACCATCAGAAAGGCTAAGTTGTCACTTTTTTGCCATCCATGCAGATAATTTTTGATTTTACATTTCCAAATAAGGGATGCTCAACCTGTAATAATGCCCTTTGAAGAAACTTCAGGAAATAGCTAAAAACTGTTACGCATCACATCAGTATAGAAATTTTGTTCTTATTTGGTGCCTTGTTTTATTGCAGCATCAATACAAATTGTTTCTAGTTATAGATAAAAACATTACTTACAACTCCTTATTTTCAAAGCACTGGGTCCAGATGATACCTGCATTAGAAAGATCTATAAATATTCATCTCTACTCAGATTGATTTCAGGGAGCTGTTTTCATAATAAATGAATTGTGTTCTCTCTTTGTGTCTTTAGTGTATTTTAACGTGTGTGAAGGGGGGTGTTAAAAGTCCATTGTTCATTAAGCTTTTACAAGGTATCTACTTATTAATTGCTCTTACTTGAGCACTTTGAGATTGTATAATTGGCATGTTTCCCATAATACACTGATCTGAGAATTGAGTCTGCTTAAAAACCTGCTATAGTGATGTCCTCTAGGAGAACTCTGAATTCTTGGGAAATGCCTAAAGCTATTCCATAAAGTGAGACTTTACCCAAGTTGTATGTTACTTTAGTTAAAGATTAAGCACACTCTGTTAGAAGATATCCTGCAGGGATCTTCGCTCTGAATATACGAGACGCATGAAGTATAGCCATAATGCAGTTGGCTAAATAATATAGGTGTTATTTGGAGAGCAAACAAAACATGGAAACCTACGGGGAAAATGGAAATGAAAGTTTGGAAAGTCTGACACTGATGTATTTGTGTAACCTTTCCGTAGTGAGTATTGCAGAGAGACTTTTTGTTTCCTTCATTAAAACCTTATTAGAGGGAGAAAAGGGACAGTGGAGACTTTACTTCAATAGCCAGGGGTGGGGTGGATAGGTCAGGGAGGAGAGGCTGCTCTCCTCCAGATATTAATGTTGTTCCTTCAGCCAGGGGAAATGAGCCATTGCTTAAGTAAGCTGGAGTTTTATGCATTCCTCGCCACTAGGGATACCCATATGTCCTGGGATCTCCAGTAGTCAGAAATGGCAGACCTTGATTGTGGAGAGCAGAGTGCTCTCATTGGTATTCACAGCAGGTATCTCTGCTCAATCTGCCCAGAGCAAGTCTGTTTAATGTTGATCAGCTGTCCATCTGATAAACTGAATTGATATGGACATTTCCCTCCAAGGGCTGCCCTGACAATGACAGCAGGAGCATCAGGATGTCTTGTTAGTTTCTGCCTCCCTCTGTCTCTCCCTCCTGCCTCTTCTCCCGCTCTACAATGTGTGATTCCTTCTTTCAAGCAAAGGTTGTGGCCATACGCAATTACTGCTGCTGCTTTGCATTAGTGCTACACATCTGAAGAATAGAGGAAAAATAGCACACTTTAATTTCTTTCTAAACCACTGTATATGCTACACACATTGCTTTATCTATATCGTTATCTTCATTAGTAAATACAATAAAGATAATGGAAATGTCACCAAAGGGAGCAAGATAAGATAAACTCATAATACCGTCTCTGAGTTTGTATGACTAAGAACCCCCTCCTGCTGCCTGTTTGAGCATTTTTCTATCTTGGACTTGCATGTTATAGTTACTTTTTCAGCTAATTCAATTATTTCCGGTCTTTGCTTTAAAGCCAGCGCACTCTGGCAGAGATTACAGAGTTGATCCACACCGCTTTCCTGGTACATCGTGGGATTGTAAACATTGGTGAACTGACATCTTCAGATGGCCCATTGAAGGACATGCAGTTTGGAAATAAATTGGCAGTCTTAAGTGGTGATTTTCTCCTAGCAAATGCAAGCACAAACCTTGCTACACTACAAAATACTAAGGTAATGCCATTTTTATTACTGTAAAGGAAGGTGTTAGCTTTGCATTTGTTTTATTTTGGTAGATTTTACTGCTTCTGCTTTTTGCAAAGTAATTTTGTTTTAAAAAAACCATTTCCCTGGAGGAATTAGATGTCATATAAAATTGTACATGCAGCCCAGCTGTCTGAAATTTTACCAGACATAAAGCAGTTACTGTATCAAATGAACAGAGTATATAAAATGTCTGTTATAAAATTCATTCGCTCTTTCCACATGTATGTCTGACTATATCAGTAGTGAGATTAGCTGGCAAACATATGGCCACCAGAAGTAGCCCAGTCAATTAAGGTAAATGGAACTTTGTCCAGTGAAATTCTGGAGTATTTTCCTTGTATACATTGAGAAAAATATGCAGTATATAGCTATTTTTAAACAAGTATCACCGTTTTATCTAGGCCTTATCTTACACCATCATTTTCTATCCCAGAGTGGACAGCCATAATGGGAATGGTTTCCACTGCCTGATCTACCGCAGGCTCTATCAGGTTCTTCTGATGAAAAAACAGAAATAACTAAAAAGTTACTTCCATTTCCTGGATATGGGATGAGTGTGTGTGTGTGTGTGTGTGTGTGTGTGTGTAACTTGCTTTAACTTAGACTTGTATCTCCTCATAGCTTCTATAAACACTCTTCTCAATCTTTTTTCAGTTTTTGAGGTCTTGACGAATGTGATGCAACCACATAATTCCCAGCCCTACTTTGTATGTTTCTCTAGTTGATTCCTGGGCACTCTGTACAATTTTTTAAAAAAACAGTGGAACACATAGTTTGTGTAATCACCAATGGTAGGCCCACCATATCCATGTGAGTTCAGTTCTGAGACTCATCATGGATACAAAAAAACACCATACATGATATCTTACTATTAAATGGCAGTAACGTGAGTGCACAGACTTCATCTTGTCCATCATCTGCAGAAGCTGCAAAACTGTAGAGCCACATTCCATGCATCAGGAGGGCCCATTGTATAGCTGGCAGCAGTTCTCATGACTATAATATTTTTTGCTGTAGCACCAATCACAGGAAAGGTTCTCTGGCCATATTGCCTGTGACAGGTTCATATACTGTATAGGCTTATCTGAGCATGAACAAAAAGATATTGATTATGGATGTTTTCTGATTATTCTTTGAATTAGTCCTTTGATAAAACTGGTTTCTTCTTCATGATCTTCGTGAATCAGACAATGGGGCTATCCTGCACCTGTGCAGGCCCTAATGGAAAGCTTTGTCAGTTCAAATTTTGGAGGCAACCCCACCCCTCTCCCCTGGGCATAAAGGTGCCTGCTCACCCGCAGGCTCCTTAGTTCATTTTCATTTGCCACTGCAATCGTAGCTCTTTGGATATCCTAGTTTCACCTAATTGCTTCATGCTTTTTTTTGTCTTTCTCATGCACCAACTTCCAGACAGCTTGATACAGTTTTTGCCTGGTCCCTCCAACATGTCAAACCCCAGATTAAAAAAAAAATGTACTCAGTGCAGCAGTAAGATGCCAGACTCTGATGCCCACCCCAGGTGCCTTCTCTGTCTGGGAGAGAGTCATGTTGTAGGGTGGTCCTATGTTCACTGCCAAGTCTTCACCGCCCAGGCTTGGAAGAACAGCTTGACCTGTACGCTGCTCGAAATCTGCTTTGGGGGTGCCTGTGGGAGAACTTTCTGCTGAACTGTTTTAGGAAGTCTGTTTTAGACTGGCCAGGGACCCTTCCCTCTGATTCCTCTAATCAGAGTAATAGAGAAAATCACTCAGCAATTGTCTTCATGCATCCATGTCACCCTCACCAGAGTGAAGGGCAGGATCCTCTACCCGGACATTTCGTCCCTCCACCTGATAGTGTAGGGAATTAGAACCTCTCCTGCTCCATGTTTGAAGAATAATTCAAGTAGTCCATGAACCTGCTACGACACGGTCATATACTTACAAATGGGCCCACTTCTCCACCTTTCTCTGGGATCAGGGAATCACAATCGAAAAGGCTTCCACCCCAATCACCCTTTCTTTTTTGACTGAGCACTCAACCTCTGACTTCTCATTAACGCAGTCAAGTGCTACTTGGCCGCAATATCCTGGCACCTCCAATGCCATGGACAACCCTCCAGTTTTCCTCACCCACAGGTCAACTCATTCTTGCAAGGGTACAAGAATTTACATTCTCCAATGACACTTCTGGCTCCAGGCTGGAGCCTAGAACTTGTACTCTTACAACTGTCAGGTCACCCCTTTAAACCCTTGGCTATCTATGACCTCCACCTTTTTTCTTGGAAAGTGGTCTTTTTTGGTAGCCATCACATCGGGTTGGAGGGCATCGGAACTGTGTCGACTCACCCTACCTCATTTTCCACAAAGAATGGGTGGTTCTTCACCCAAACCTCTCTTTTCTCCTGAAGGTCATGTCAGTTTCCACCTGAACCAGGTCATTGTACTACTGACATTGGCAGAAGCTCCATTGTCTAAATGTGCATTGGGTTCAGCTTTTTTATCAAAAACGCCATACCGGTGTTCAAACAAACTATTTCTCTGTTACTCTGGCCCTGGACAGGGGAACCCAGAGTCATCTTAGAGACTTCAGCTTGCTAGTCTCTAGTGTTATTCACAGAGACCATGAAGAAGGAGGACAGGTTGCTTCTTCATTTATTCGTGAATTCCCACAACCCTGCCCCCCCCCCCCCGGCCATGCCATATCCTCAAGGTTGAAGATGGCGGCCTGGAACCGAGGTGCCTGCCAGCAAGTGGGCACCTTTATGCCCAGGGGAGAGGGTGGGGTTACTGCCAAAAATTGAACATTTAAGGCTTTGCAAAGATCCGTTTGTGTGTGTGTGTGTGAGAGAGAGAGGAATGACTTGAGAAACTGCAAGTTGCTTCTGGTGTGAAAGAATTGGTTGTTTGCAAGAACGTTGCCCAGGGGATGGCCGGATGTTTTGCCATTCTGTGGGTGGCTTCTCTCATGTCCCCACATGAGAGGCTGGAGCTAATAGATGGGAGCTCACCCCGCTTTCTGACCTTTTGGTCAGCAGTTCTGCTGTCACAAAGGTTTAACCCATTGTGCCACAGGGGCTCCCAAAGATCTGTTAGGCCTGCACAGACTCATTATAGCCCAGTTGTGTGAAGTCACAGATGACCACTAAAGAAACTCAGTAAGCAACCTGTCAGTTTTTTTAAAAGTCAAGTCTGAAAGTAGCCTCAAATAATTTTCAGTTCTTCTATTGAGCTTTCGCTATTCTCTTTTTAAATACTTTGACTAAGAGATGTAATTATTCCAAGTTTGTCACAAATCAAATCTATAGTACATTGAAAAACAGTAGCATAAAAGAACTGCTTGATTTATCAAGCAATTAAGCTGCATGTCTGAAAGCTCTGCCAAAACATGTTAACACTTTCCCACATTTTTGACACCTGGATATTTCAAAAATCTCCTATATACCATAAGTAGAATAGAGCCAATTTATTTATCAGTTCGGTCTCTCTTGTGTCTTAAAAGTTTGAACAGTTGGAATATAAGCTGTAAAAAAATGACAGATACATTTACTTGATTTGGCATTATTTTGAAAGGTAAGGCTTTTGTTTTTTATATATGCGTGTACATTTTATAAGTATAAAAAGCCATGAAGTCATTACTTACCCACCCCCAATATTTTTCCTCCTTTCCTCAATTAATGCTGCAGCTAAAATACTAAACTTTATGGAATTTCATAGCAATGTGACTGGGTTAAGCCTGTAAAAACCATTCTGGAACACAATAAGCCTGTGATCTTAGGATACCACAGTCAGTGGAAATTGAGTCTGAGTAGGAATATTCTATAGGGCTATAAAAATGTTTTGTCTGAGGAAGCAGCCAGTTCCTGCCACTTCAGAAGCAGGTTCCTAACTTTTGAAACATATTCACTAATCACCTTTTTCACGTGGCTCTTTATCTGAAGCAGCACAACACTTGACGTGAGGTGTCCTATTCAAGTTTTCAGTATCTGTTCTCCATATACATGGAAAAGGCAAGCAAGATGATACAACCAGAACCCCTGTTCAGGCATTAGCCTGAGCACATATAAATAAGGTTAAAAGAATAACAAGGTCACACTGAATGTCCACACACATCCATCAATGTCAGAGATCTTCCTTTAACTGGGAAGCCTGGCATTATCAAGATTCACACTCATAGGAGGTTTGTAACTATGAAGGATTCTGTTCCCAATGGCCTTTTTGGCATTCTGCTTGTCTTTTCCATTCTGGTTTGTGATCCTTGGGTAATTTGGGGAGTTAATGGAGCCATCTCCTCCTTGGTTTGTCTGGATGTAGACTTGGGAACAGATACAACTTCAGGATGCATAAATAAAAAAGAAATGATTCTTTGTTAATGTTTTGTTCATAGTTTTGAACTGCATGGTCATATCTGAACTTGAATCACCAGGCTCTTAAGTATTTGAACACAGTGTGCTAAAAGCAGATTTTTGGTCCTGCTGGTTGAGGAATTGTGGCAAATGTAGTCCCAAAAGTAACTATTCCACATAACTTTTTTGAGCTCTGGCCACTGAGTTGCTTTAGACAGTAAGTAGCTTTCCTAATACTTAGAGCTGCATGCAAAGAGATCTTGTAGCAGCTTTGATACTGAGAGAAAGAAGCTGGTAGAATAAGCTTTCGTAGACTTAAATCTACTTCATCCGATGCATGAAATGAACTACCTACTAGGAACAGACCCTTATAGGCAGACTGGGTGTGAGAATACCATAGAAATGCAAAACCTGTGCTCATGGTGATGAAGTGACAAGCTCAGTTTTAGCCATGGTTCTTGGGAGCAAAGGCAGGTGGAAAGATGTTGCCTACAGCCAAGTTGAGTAGATAGCCATGAGAGGTGAAGAGAGTTATTGCAATATTGTGCGTTACTGGCCAGGAACCATAAAGGCATTAATAAACTGGCTGAAAAGGCCCTCATGAAGTTGAATGTTGAACTTATGGGTTCTGGTTATCTATACA